CTGGTTATGTCTTCTTGAGGCCTATAAAAGCATTCCAAAATACCTATGGTACGAAATGATCTGCTTATCAATATACATAGTATGACCCAAAAAAATAGAGGGACTATGAGATTCGGTTTTGGTGCATTTTTTCATAACGATGTGGGACTTAATATATCGGACTAGATTGATGTACTTAGTTATCCAGGCCATTTACTCTTTACATTTTATGCGTACCTGAATATGTACATGTTTATGACTATAGATGAGAAGGGATTTTTTCGCGAAATGGATTCAGCTGGCACAGAGTGACTAATTATGTATAGATCATCCTTGAACGAGGATTAAATACATGAAATACGAATTCCTTAGATAAAGAAATATTATTTATATGCGGCTCAAAAAATTCCACCTTAACTATGACAACGAATCGAAAATTGACTCTGCTTTATTTGATGCACAATTTAATTTAACTTTGGTCTATTTGATTCTGCAAGCAGTTCCTACTAGTCTTTTAGTTATATACTCTATTAGCTCAGGAGCAGACATCACACCTGCTTCTTGCGTTCTGCATTGCTTGTTGGCCGACCGTGTGTTAGAACTTCTCAAACTATCCTGATTTGTTGACATTTAACGATATGAATACAGCATCATTTTGCATAAAAAATGAGATATATTGCGTTTTTATTCCTTTTAGGAAATGTCCCCTATTGAGGCTAACGAGCATCGTACTCCAGGTGGCGATCACCCCTTTTTCGGCTCTTCCAACTCTTCTGATGGGGTATCGACAAATGAATCAGCGCCTGCAGACGAGCTTATCGCCTTAGCCTTGCTCCATCCACCAGCTGGTTACAGTCTTTTGCTTGGAGATGGTACACTGGCCGGCATGTCGAATCTCGGCGAATTTGAGAGTGCGAATGAAGGGAGTGAGAGTGATGAATGCACTACTGAAGATGAGGAAGATATCAAAGAGCCAGGAAAAAATGGAGTCCCTGCGACGGAAAGCTCATTTGGATCGGAAAATTCTATAAATATTCCTGTGAACTTTGACTCTGCTTCTCATTCTGATTTCTCTTCTCTTGAGCCACAGGAAGCTGAGTCCCCTGCGGTTCATACAGCATTAGATCGGGCTTTAATGAGCTGTCTGAATTCTACTGACCTCCAATCGAGAGGGCCTTCTTTTGTGAGTGGGGCCTTCAGTCCTTGAGTGCTTTTGAACATTATTATTTGACGTTACGTTAACACTCTCTTCAAAACCACCAAAATGCTAATCTATCTATTTAAATGGATAGCGCTCTGTTAATTTAGAAGCATGAAGGTTATGTTCTTAAATCATACACTTTCGGGAATTTATGCATGATCTATGTTTTATGCTAATAGATCGGCAAAATCACTATAGACCATGGTTTTGGGTCATATGGGTCCAGCTTTCGTCACTTTTTCTCGGACAAATAACGAATTTGCATTTTTACGATTCTATGGAGCTGTGTGAGAGCCGAGATTTCATTGGAAAACGTCGATTCAAATTTTCCCAATTCATTCACACCCGGTTCTTCTGGGCTCTGCTTCACTTATCATCATTGTAAGGGACCTTAATCTTTGGCGAAGCTACTTTCCAATTGGCCATAGGTTCTCAACATTAGTTCGGCCAAGCAATAAAAAATATTCGGCATTCACAAAAATGATTAATAACTCAAACAAGTAAGTTATTCCTCTTTATCAATGCTCTTATTTACAAGAGTTTTTGTATTTGCGTTAGGTTGATTTTAACCAGTGACAAATACCATATTTTATTAAGCCTGTCTTATTCAGTGCTTTTCTCACTGGCATCACAATTTTACTGAAGGCCGTTGGACTTCTATACACTTATGCTGGTTTGCTTGCTATTCATCGCTCTTTTCATGCGTTTTTGTATTGATAAGGGGTAGGTAGCCATCGAAATGGCCTGCTGAATATGGCTAGAAATAAGCGTAATATCAGGCTGTATATGATCTTCCAGCTAAATTGTTTATTGAAGTTGTTTGACTTTGTTTTTGCAACATCGTCATATTGGCAGGAAGATCTAGAGGAACGCACCTTGTCCAGAGTCCATAGTATGCATGATCATTTCCAGAGTCGGATCATGGACTTGGTACATTCCCAGACGTTTCGCCGGCATCGTCAGTGAGCCTTGCCATCCTTCGCAACACACTACAACTCGTCAGAGAGAAGTCTTCATTATTTTGATTTCTACGGTCTGCTTCTTATAGCTTCTCCCTCTCTTAGTTAAATTTCGACCTTGTATTATTCTCGGCCTGGATAGCTAGCCATATTGTGCGGTTCCCCGGGGCAAGCTTTGTCTTATCTCTTTAGTCCTCTCATAGTACGGAATTTAGAGTCTTATAGTTAATTCGGTCATTAGTATTGCTGGCCAATGATGTAACAACGCCCTCTCCTGTTGCGTTTCCGTATGGACAGAGGGCTTAGCCCTCAACATATGGATTATCAATTTTGACTTGATCCAGGACGGGCATGGCATAATAATTGTTTGAAATCTGGTGAAGCTAAGCTAAATATTTGACTTTATCCAGGGATTTTGTTCTCAAGATCGTTTTCTCATCCTTAGTTGATTGAGGTTCAGATCCATTTTAATCCCTTCAATAACGCCGGGCCAAAACTACTATTTACTCTGAATCAGATCGCATAATTGAGGCGTGATCTTGACTAGATTTTATCAGCATAGCCCTTCCCTTCCACCCTTCGACGACTGCTCAACCACCACTCCTAATGATGCCAACCAACAAATTGCCTATTCCTCCCTTAAACTGAATTTATCGATCATTTGAACACCCATTCGCTATTACTACATTGCTAATTTGAGATTAAAAACAAAATTATGCAAAGCCAACTGTGGCTTTGTGCCTCGCAAACAATGGCGGATTAATTCGTTCGGAAAATCTAGACCTAGCTACGTCATTGATCACTCCTGTGTGTGCTAGCCCATTTGAGTTTAATTAGGTGACTTTTCGATGAACCGAGCTCTATTTTTTTGACAAACTAGCCCATTTACTCAGTACGGCTCTTTTTGAAGGCGTCTCCCTTATTGGTCTTGCATATTTAGTCACTCTTGGTTGTGGCTTCAGTGTTCGTTTGTGGAGTTCTATTCACTATTTAACTCTCCATTTTTAATCATGACGTCTTTCTTCATAAGGGTTTTAGAGTTAATTCGACCCTGCTTCCGCAACCTGTATTTTCATGTCCTCTGTCGTTGTTATGTCTTCTTATAGCATCGGAGCGTTGACTTTGTATATTCCCAAATGTTTTGTCGGCGTCTTCAGTGAGAATTGCCATCCTTAGCACAGAACTACAACTCAACAATTACCATTTTCTGTCCAACGATTGGGAAATCTCTTCTCTCACCTATCCTAGCCTATAGCACTTTATCCTCGGCCCTCAATCTCATTCAAAATGGCCACTTCCTATCTATACTTCTCTCTATCCTCGCCTGTTCCACTATATCCCAGGTGTGTATTCCTTCAGCCTCCAACGCAATTTCTAATCCCATTTGCAGGGTTTCTTGGTCCAAGATGAAACTATCTAAAATTCACCAAACTTCAATCAACTGCTCCCTCTTTCCCGTTAAAATTCTTGTCTTATCTAATTGCCTGAACATAAACCCTCGGTCCCGGTCAATCTTTCCGTACTACTTGAAGATTTCCTTACAGAACTGGCTCCGACTGTATAAGAACTTGTACGATGGCTTACTAGGGACTGCTTTGGAACTTCGTGATTCTCAAGTTTCCTGCCTCTTTCAATTCTCTTGTCTTCAGAGTCAAGGCTTTTCATTTACCTCATTTCTTTACATTTCTTCGGGCTTATAGGCTTTGCTTTTGTTATAAATGAACCAGAGATTCCATCATCATAGTCTCTTTATCTACAATTTAAAGACCGTTGGCTGGGAACCTTTCAAGCCCTATATCTCTCATGTAGAGGGCATATTGAACTGAGACGAGCAGAGCTGAAACAAACACTAGGGATAATTAGCTTGATGTATAAAATCGTATGCCTAAAATACTACAAATTTATACCACGAATAAGTCAGTCAAGACTTAGAAGTTGTCTGACTTCGTTTTTGCGACTTGGTTGTATTGTTGGACACTCTTATTTGGATGCACCTTGTCAGAGGTCCTCTGCCACAGTAATCATAATTCCCAATGTTGCATGATTCACTTGGTACATTCCCAGAGTTTTCGCCAACACCGTCAGTTAGTCTTGCTATTCTCAGCACCAAGCTACAGCTCGTTAAAGAGACGAGTGAAGTCTACGCTTAATTAGTAATTATTTCTGAATCAGATCGCATGCTTTAGACGTGATCTTGAGTGGATTTTATCAACATCGACCTTCCATTCCACCCTTTGACAACTGCTCAACCACTATTCCTAATGATACCAACCTACTGATTGCCTACTTCTAATCGAAATCCAGTTACTCTTCATAATTATTCCTTGTCTCGTCCAGTCTGGCTCACTTTTGGGGACTACAATTTAATCCCTAACGTAACTTATCCCACTGGCTTTGGAATTTTTTTGCTTTAATATATTAAATGATAATGGTTAAAATGCAACTTATTTGAAGGAACACTCAATAATGTTGGCAATGCCTGGCTCTCAAAGCAGCCCAGAAAATCATTTGGCGCCACCTTTATCTTCTCTCCTAAAGCACACAACACTGGAAAATGATCGCATACTCTAAGAAATAATATCCCTCAAAATAAGATCAAAACAAACCTGTGACTGACTACTGCTGCACGAAACAGTCAGGTCTTAATGAAACAATATCATATAAACTTTGATTACATCGACACAAAAACTTTAAAAACCACAGAATCCAACTATATCTCAGCAATAACCGGAATGAAAGTATGGCAAATCAGATAACCTATAATACTCACTATCAACAACCTATGGTTCTTTGGTAGCATAGTTCACTAAATCTTGCTTTAAACCATGGGTAGACTGTATTATAGTATGACACACTTTCGGTTTGCTTTGGGTGATGAAAGACACATGCCATACAACGAAATAGCTAGAAGATCTCACGATGCCTGAACTTTGTCTCACAAAATGTCCTATTATCCTGGTTTGCTTGCACCTTTGACTTGACCTGTATCCCCTGGGCTTTACTAACGGAATTTAAAAAGTATTCTTTCGCAGCATAGGGTACACCCACCGCTCCACCTTACTCATGAGTCACAAAGATTGTAATTTTAAAGGCAAGCCATGCTTTATCACATTCTGCGGTGGGACCGAGATCGATGCTGTGAAGATAAATTGGTCATCAA